GAGCTCTCTACCTGCAACTCAGTCCCTTTAGACTAGCTGGCAGCAATTAGCAAATACCTGGCAGAACTGTGAATCTGCTGAACTCTGTATACAAGCTACTCTCTGTGCAAAGTGAAACAAAAAACATTGTTGAAGGGTTAATAGAGGAGAGATGTTGTGTGTGATGACTTCCTACCTCTGGTGTAATGTGACATAATGAAAAAGGTTCAAAGGGCACCAATATATTTATGAGGCTGTACCTGTAAGGCAAATAAGCTGTTTTATTTTGCTTCAAAACATCTGCCTTTACATTGACACACTAACAAAATACAGGAAAACTTAATACTGAAAGAGAACAAATATGAAACTAATTTAATTACATGTCGTGAAAATCATGGTGGGTGCATATGAAAATGGTATTCCTTTATTTATACCCGCCTGCTGCCTCACCCTGAAGTCCACTAGGTGGTGGTGTTGCACCACGAGCTGGTTTACAATCTTGAGGAAAACCAACAGAAGAAGAAAGAAGAGCCTGTAGTCGGAGTTGTGGTTGTTTGTAAACCTCCCATCTGAAGCAGAACCACCTGCTCTGATCCTTGGTGGTTCAAACCCGAGCTGGAAACGCGTCTCGTCCCTCCGCGCAGCGATGTGTCAGGTGGAAGAAGAATACCACGAGCAGCTGGAGCGCGTGGACCCACCCAGGTAGGCGGCGTGAACCTCCACGCGTCTGGAGAGCACAGCACGGAAAACGCCGGCGTTTAAAGACGGTGTTTGGCTTTTCAGTGACGCTGCAGAAACTTTGTGAGACGAGTTGAATGTTTTCTAACGGGCAGGAAGTCATGTGGTGAACGGAGCCGCAAGCATTTCACATAAAAGGACCAACAGGGAAGTTTCTGCAATGTGTTTTTGTTCCTAAACGAAATAAATATTGTTTATATTTTCTGAGGTCATCTTTGGCTGATGTTAGAAATATTAGTATCAGACGTTGTAGTCAGGAGAGTGAAGTTATTAGGTAATTATGCCAAAACATTTAATTCAGGATCTCACAGTAACAAGCCCTGGATGACTGTCTGATAACTGACTGCTTATCCACCTCATTTGCTTTTGCAGTGCCTCTTTAGGTCTCTGTCTGATATATGATTTCCAGAAACTGTGACTGACATTACAAAGGCAAATGTTAAAAAGATGGATTGTTTATTTGCTCCACTCTGTGTGGTATTTTACTGTGTTTCTAAAACACTTTATTATGTAACTTCTTTAACCAAACACAGTTTTTCTCTCTGTTGTCAGTGCTTCGAAAAAATGTGTCAAATGCAAAGAGGAGCTGGCGGCTGTGGTCATCAGAGCAGGAGATGCATACTGCAGGTAGGACACAGCAGCATCACTCAGCCAGCGTGGCACTGTGAAAACGAGGTTTACATAAGACTGAGAGTAAGTGACGCAGCTTGGATCACTGTAACTGATTTAATCTGCAGCCGTTTATCATAATAATTGTGATCTGTTAGACAGATGTTGCTCGCGTCAATGAGAAAAGTTTTGAAATTGTTGTGCTTCCTGCCTGTTTCTCTCATTCTGTTTGCTTCCCAGGAACTGTTTCAGAGAGAGCTTCATTCACAAGTTCAGAGCCATGCTGGGTAAAACCCGGGTCATCTTCCCTGGAGAGAAGGTGAGGAGGTCACCAACTCTGACTCTGGATGGTTTTAAATCCAGTTCTTCTATTTCGTCAAGAAGATGTTTTTATTTTTATTATTATTAAAAGCCAGAATTGTTCTTTAGGCATTCCATCCACCAAAAAACTTTGGAAAAAGAAAATGGCACGAAGGCAGTGATTAGGTTTGAACTGGCTGAGGTCAGACCTGTTGAGTCGGGTTTTCTAATGACTAACACACACACGTTTTAATTAGTTTGAATGTCATGTTTAGCTTCTATTAATATGCAACAACATTGATGATGATGAAAGATATAGAAAATGTTCCCTAGACGTGTATAAAACCATAACGCCTCCTCTCACATCTGGAGGTACCAGCAGAACCCAGTGGGTCCAAACTGAGCTGGAAACTCCATGCGTTCTGGCAGCTGTAGTGGTGAGTTCAGTGGAAGTCGTAACTCTGAGCGTCCCCTCTGTCTGCAGGTGCTGCTGGCCGTCTCCGGGGGTCCTTCTTCCTGCTCAATGCTCAGCCAAGTCCAAGAGGTGTGAACATGTCAGCCAGCCTGCTGGTGAAACCGGGTCGTATCGTTGCATCCAGCCGCTCTTCTCACTGTCCTGTCAGCGCAGGAGTTTTAGGCTCTGACTGGATTAGTTTATTATTATTATTATTATTCCAGGTTTGCGTCAACATGAACCCACCACTTAAGCGTCCCCGTAATACTGTTTTCCAGAAACCAGTTCCAGAGTGAAACAGTGGCGTTTGCAAACAGATATATTAATGTATAGTTATCGAACCCCATGAATATTCCAGTCTCAACATGAACCTGTCACTGCACTGCAGAAACACTCAGTCTTACCAAAAATCTTTATCTAGTTCTATTGCAAATATTTTAGTGTACTTGAAATGAGACAAAATCAGTAACTTTTCAGCAAGACAAAGGTGCTTGTTTTAAGTCAATAATTATTAAATATAGATAAAACGAATAGTTCCACTGGGAGATTTCTTCACTTAAAACTTTTCAACATTTTTCCTGTTTTAGGTGAAAAACTGAAGTGTGTAACCGGTGTTAATGTCATGCTGTGTCTCCCTCTCAGGGTGTGAGTCAGAACGCTCATAAAAAGCTGCGCTTCGTCCCTGGGATCGTTTACATCGACGGTAAATGAAATCATTTCTGTAACTCCAGTTACTTCCTCTCTGGGAAGGAAATCTGTTAGACGCATCTTCTTTGGGGTGTTGTGTGTGTGTGTGTGTGTGTGTGTGTGTGTGTGTGTGTGTGTGTGTGGTGTGTGTGTGTGTGTGTGGTGTGTGTGTGTGTGTGTGTGTGTGTGTGTGCGTGTGTGTGTGTTTCCAGAGGGTGGCGCTCTTGGCCAGCCTAATGAGATGAGACAGAAAACAACATCTGAGCTGTGTGATATGTTCAGATCAACTGGTTTTCCCTTCTGCATCCTTCCTCTGGAGCAGGTCAGTCTGAGCGCAGGGACAGACCTGTTTCCACGATTACAGATAGGCCTGTCAGCATAACAAATTTTGCTGGACATTAAATTGCTCCAGTAGTTATTGCAATAAAAAGATGATGTTGTTGTTTAGAGACCATTTCCAAGTAATATTATGGTAATGGCTTAATAAGGCAGGAACACATTCTCAAAGATCAATAAACTTTCAATTCTGATGAACATTTAACAATGGAACTGGAGGACATTTTAAATATCCAAAACAAATAAACAGAACAACAGAAATAAAAATAAAATGAATTGTGAAGTGTCGTTTTCATCCCTCCTTCCAGGTTCTGGACCTCCCTGGATCCGTCCTGACTCCCTCACCGCCGTCAGACCAACCAGGCTCCGCCTACAAAGCAGCTGTGGATGTCTTCTTGCAGGGCGGCGGTGGCAGCGGTGACGGAAAGGCTGAGGAGCAGGAGTGTGTGTCGCCGCCTGCTGTTCAGGAGTCACACACACGGCTGCTGCAGCAGCTGATTGGCTCAGCTCAAACCCTGACAGCCAAACAAGACCTGCTGAACACACTCAGGTTGGATCACCTGGAATTCTTCTTAAAATTTACATCAGCAAAGTGTAACACGTTTATGTTTACTAAAATATTACTTGTTATTAGGCGGCTTATTTTCCTAGAAAATGTTGTTATTGTCTTGACTGAATAATAACTCTCATAATTTAGTTCAAAGATTATAAGTCAGTAGGCAATTGGGATCAGGGCCGACCCCTGGGGCCCTAATCTGATTGTAATTCGAGGCCCCCCACAGCAAATGCAGATTTTTCATTAGTCCTAGGCTGCACTGTATACCTTCTATTATTGGTCATTTGTAATTAGATTAGCTATTGCGCAGATGAGCTGATGGTGCGGATCGTGCAACATCTCCATGTTCTGTTCTCTGCCCTCTATTTGTTGAAGCAACAATCAACAAATAGATAGTTTTACTGACGGTGAAACACTACGGTGGCCTGACTGACTTTCCTCCTAAAGGCAGCACCTGCTGGTGCACACGGCTCGGACCAGAGGCTACAGTAAGCTCATGCTGGGAGACAGCTGCACCAGACTGGCTGTGAAGCTGATCACCAGTATCTCACTGGGCAGAGGAGCCCAGCTGGCCCAGGACACGGTGCGTACCGGGGCAGACCACACGCCCAGCGGCTCCTATCCGACCTATTTAGATGGAACATATCTGATTTAGTTTTTTTCCAGGGCTTCTCTGACTGCAGATACGGTGATGTAACAGTAGTGAGACCCATGAGGGAATACTCCGCTAAAGAAATAGCTTTCTACAATCATATGTTCAAGGTTCCATCCGTTGTCATTCCAAACCTGGACACAAAGGTGAGGAACCATCTGGTCACCGTCGCTCTCCTCTTGTTGCTTCAGAACAGGACGGCTCTGTTTCTGTCCCGATTACCTGAGGCAGACATGTTCTTCCCTCCAGACACCGGACAAGGCCAGCATCCAGCGCCTGACCCAGAGCTTCGTCACCACGCTGCAGGCCGACTTCCCCTCCACTGTCAGCACAATCTACCGGTCAGTCTGGACGGACGTCCAGCATCGCTGCACTGCACAAACACTAAATCTCACCAAGTATTTCTGCTCTGGTTTTTAGTTCAAATATTTTGAAATAAAACAAAAACTAACTTACAAGCACCGATAACTTTTCAGAAAAGTTGAAACTTTCACTCATAACATTGGAAAAATGTCTTGTAACTAGTATTTTTTAACCAGTGTTATGAGATCACTGACTAAAACGAGCTGTCCACCTGTGGACGTGGAGGAGCTCTGAGTTTGTACCTTTGTCAGTGAAGTGTGTGAAGAAGAGCGGAGAATGACAGACAGCAGAGCTGAAACGTCTCCTTGCTGAGAGAACACAAACGGAGCAAAATCTGGACTGATGAAGGCAGAATCACAGCTTGACCTTTGAACCTGTCGTGTTTTCAGGACCGGGGAGAAGCTGCAGACGGCAGGCAGGAGCTCCTCCACCGCCGAGCGCTGTGTGCTGTGTGTTTGTGGCCTGGACACTGCTGCTGGTGAGTCACAGCGGCAGCATGTCTTCCGTTAACACTGTAACTTTGTACATCTTGCTCTGCAGAGCAGTGGCATGCTCAGACATTTTGGGGATCAGATGCTCAAATGGAACCACTGACTTGAGGCTCAGCTTGAACATCATGTCTACGTCCCTTTTTCAAATCAATATCCATGCTGTCTGATGTAGATGTTTAATGTTCATCCCAGAGGAAAGAAATAAACTCAAAACGGCTTCCAGGTTCTATACAGAGCTCTGGCTCTCCGCTGCCAATCAGTGAAGTTTGTGTTTTTTTCTGATCTTCAGAAGAGGCTTCAGCGCTCCAGGCCACGCTTATTTCAGAGCAGCTCTCTCAGAGTTCAGGTGAGGTATTCCATCAGATCACCTGAGATGCTCTTACTGATCGTAGAGCAGGTGCCATTTCTGGGGACCATTCTGGTCTTCTGGGGAGCAGTCAGATCAGTCCTATGACTTTTTGTGTCCTTGTTTCCAACAGTTCCAGTGAAACCAGAACCACCTTCTACTGTTGGACAGTGTTGCTCCTCTGAAAGTCCCTGTAGAGGGTCAGGAGGGGCTAGTGACTGCTGTAGGTCTTCAAGGTAAAAGTTGATTATTTACTAAAATCTGACCACCAGGACAGGAGGGACACTTGGGATGCAGAATCAGGTCTCTGTCCTTTTTCCTCAGCCTGTTCAAGTTATTGAGGGACAGGGACGAGGCAGTTTGCAACACTTTAGAAGCACCAAAACACGCTCTGTGCTGCCCTCTTGTGGGCTCTTTGTCTTCCAGGGACCATGAGGCCACTGAGCTGACGAGCCTGCTGTGCTACAGCTGCAGACGGACTGTCAGAGACATGGTGAGTGGAAACTGTCCCATGAAGTTTAGGAACCTGATGTAAGTTCTGTTTGGTCATCTCTGTCCCCTAATTGGTGAACCAAATGGAGATTGTACTTTTCCAAAGTTTCCCCCAGAAAACTTGCCACGCCTGGTAGTAGAGGTGGTAGGGTCAGTAAGAATAAGAAATGTTAAGTTACAAAAATCTGGAGGTGAATAAAAACATTAAAGGGACGGGGAAATTGATTCTCACCATCTAAAGCCCAGTTGAAAGAGTCAACTATATAGCAAATGGTCTGAACTCATACAGCACATTTTCAGTCATGTGCAGACTGGTAGGCATCTTGGTTTTAAGTGCCTTGCCCAGGGGCATATTGACTACAACCTGATTACAAGATGACTAATCTACCCACTGAGCCACAGACACTACAGAACTAGCTATAAGTTTAGCTTAATCTGTCTTTACAGTCACCATTACTGATGTATTAAAAATCCTATTTAAAACAAAGAAACGATGCTCAGCCTGGTGGGGGGGGGCAAGTGAAGCCTGGAGGCCCGCCAGGCTTATAATACACTGGGAGGAAACCCTGCTTCTGTAAAAGAACTAAAGATCCAGAAATGTGCTGGTCTGGTCTCCGTTTCCTATTTCTATGCAGGAAGGAGGATTTTCCTGAAGTACCAGGATTTCCATAATGATACATTAAAGTATATTTAAAAGCGTTTGTCTTTTTTCAGCCCATTTTCTTCTGTTTTCCTCAGACTTCAGTCACTCATCTCCCTCAGTATGTCCAGTCAGAGACTCAGAGGAGACAAAACCGGTGAGACATTCAGCCTTCACACTCGGTACAAGATGATCAAATACTTTAAACCCACACTTCAGTCACTCATCAATTATTATAAAGTACACTTATCAAATTAATCCTTTTAATAACTGAATATCCATCTGATCATTCTGGGCTATAACCTTCCAAAACTGTTTTTGAAGTATTTTGGCTGCATTGTTGCCTTATTTCCATCATTAGGAAATGTAATCCAGTATGAGTTTATGATTGTTGGTTGTTTTGGTAAAAGCTGCCCACTGTAATGAACTCTAAAGACCTTTATTCTGCTTACTAGTGTACACATGAGTTCTCACCTTCATCTTCTGCAGGTCTGCAATGAAAGAGCAGATCAGTAAGTTTCTGCTGGATGATGCTGATGAAAACGATTAAGGACAAGATGATCAAACTTGCTTCATTTTTTTTAATGGTGGAACTTCTTGTAACTAGAACTTCTCAATATTTGTATCAATAAAGTAAATATCCTCTCTCTGAAATCAGCATGTTTCCTAACTGCTCTGCCTTGAATCATTCATAACTTTAGATGAAACAGCAGTACACCACAGTCCATCCATCCATCTTATGCCGCTTATTCGAGGTCGGGTTTATTTTCACCTTAAATCAGTCAGTCGGGTATTAATCAGTTTTGGCTTAACTGAAGGAAATCTAAGGAAAAAAACCTCTTTAAGCAAGTAGCATAAAAATCAGTCTTGTATCATTTGGTGATTCTGCAGATATTCTGAAATAAAAAAATGAATATACCTCCACTAGCTCAAGACAGCCATCTCAAGGTTGGGTATGTCCATAGATTCTGGTAGAGCCGAACAGAAGTAGAATTTGACCCACAAGGGATTAAAAAACCCCAAAACATTTCAGATAGACAAAAAAAAAAGAATGGAGAAAATCACACAAGGTGCATTTTTATTGAAAAGATATTAGAAACTTTAGGTCTGCAACAAATCCCACACAAACATACAAGTATTTACAGGTTATTAGTTCACAGAATAATGTGTTTCTACATGTTGATGTTGGCAGCTGGCAGAGTGGATTTGTCCAGGTCATCGAAGTACGGATGGCTCAGAGCCTCCCGGGCAGAGATCCTCTTTGGTGGATTGTAGATCAACATTTTCTGTTAGAGGACGGAAGACGGACAGGAGTCACCTCGCTATGGACTCTGGCTTTATGTTCATTCCTCTCCCTAATCGAGTTTTTTTTCTGTCTTCAACTGGATTCATGTTCTAATTGAACTTTGTACCACATGAACAAGAGGACTGCTTGTCCAAGCACTCCAATGAGTGCATGGTAGCCATGTTATTTATGCTAACTCAGAACTGTGGGACTTTAGCAGCATCCAGAAGATTCTCTGCTGTAAACATTTGATTGTCCAGCCAACAACCGATCTGACCAAAACGGTAAAAATTTCACAATTACAAATTTTGCTGGATGATAAATTATCCCAAAAGTTATTACAATAAATATTGCTGCTTTGAGACCATTTTCAAGTAAAGTAATGGTAACGGCTCAATAATGCAAGAACATAGAGTCAAAGAATTCAAATGAACATTTAACACTGGAACTGAAAAACATAAAATATGCAAAATAAATAAAACAGAAACAATAAGTACAATGAACTATGAAGCCTCTAAACAAAATTCTCCTTCAGAGAATGAGTCTAGTTGAGACCAAAGCACCAGACTCAAGACTTTTATCATCTAGTTTTTGGTAGAAAAGAGAAAATACATGATGCAAATGGAACAAGCCGTCAGTGTCTGCAGACATGCTGCTCTCTGGACTGGTGCAATAGAGCCCTTCACTGTGTGTACAATCAATAGGCAACTGAGCATTTTGACCACATCATTTTTATGCATTATATTTTCTAAGTTTTATAGAAAACTTGAATCAGTTTGAACATGAAACTGAACAGGATGGCTTTGTTTGATAAGTAGGATGAAACTGGAGCGGATGAATCTGTATGACTGGCTTGAATCAACTGTATAAATTATGATTTTTCCTGTTTTTGTAAAGTGCATTGAAATACTTGTTAATCTGCACTACAACATAAAACTGAATTGAAAATGGAGTCAAGTATCATCCAAGAGGAAATGGAAGATGTGTTTATCAGAGAAGAAGCTCTGGGGAAAAATCCTAAACAACCTTGATATCATTTAATCAGTACTGAACACATCCAACTGCAGCTCGGCCTGCGTTTCACTTGAATTGTCCAGGATGTGTGTCACACAAAAAGCATTGAAATCATTTATCATACAGGGAACAAGTTGAAATTCTTACAGTGTGTGTGTGTGTGTGTGTGTGTGTGGGATCCATTGCCCTCACCGCCAGCAGGTCCAGGCCGTTCTTATCCAGGTTCTTCACCATCGACGACAGGTTTCCTCCCTTCCATTTAGGGAAAGTGCTTTTGTAGTCAGGCAGGTTCTCCACATCAGGCCAAACATCGTTATTCGGAGTTCCCAGCGTTCTGAAAAAAAAAAATGCAACTAGACATTCATCAAGAATATCAAGAGTTGTTAATAATTTTATCCTGAAATACCAGCTTTCCAGACGCTCATGTCAGACAGCATTTTATTTGACCTGCAGGTTAATTTTCATAAAACTGACCCACAGTTATATCAACGCTTAAAAATAACATTTTTTTGTTTTCATACAGAACCGACTTTCAGCGATTTTCCCCTTCCTTTTATCCCCTGAATACGTACATAAATGTTAATAAATAATGTCAGAAGATGCTTAACATTGCTCATTTTAATTTTCTGCTATTTTTTTGTGTTGGGAGTTGTCATAAAATTACTACTTTAGTCTCCTCATGTTATGACTTCACGCTCTTAATTTAAAAATAAAGAAAGAAATCTCAGCCTGGCCCTAATATTTTGTCGTAGAGTTGACCTGAATTCAAAGTCCAAATAAATAGAAGCTGTAAAACTCAAATCACTCAGAACTATGTGAACCCAAGAAAAGAATTTGCATGGGAAAAGAATTTAAATTTCCCAAAATTAAAGATAAAAATTGAGTGAATCAGTAAACTCAATGCGTCGCCCAGCTCCAGTCATATCAGCCCGTTTGTTCAGTTTCTCTGCTGAATGACCTGAAGATCCTGAAGAGCTGGTCGATCTCAGAGTCTCCGTGGAAAAGCGGCTTCTTGGTGGCGAGCTCAGCGAAGATGGTTCCGGTGCTCCAAACGTCCACAGGGGTGGAGTATCTGGGGAGCCCAGCAGGACCTCTGGAGCCCGATACCAAAGGGTCACGACCTGGAAGCACACAGTTTACGATCAGAGTAAAACCTTCAAACAGGCAGAGTGGGTCCAGTTCGCTCGACGCGTCTCACCTCATGGGTGTAGACCCTGACCGGTACGCCAAAGGCTCGGGCCAAGCCAAAGTCCGCCAGTTTGATCACGCCCTTGTTGTCGATCAGGAGGTTCTGGGGTTTCAGGTCCCGGTGGAGAACCCGGCGACAGTGGCAGAAGTAGATTCCCTCCAGGATCTGGTAAAGGTAGCTCTGGGGAAAACCCGACAAGGAGACGCAAACAATCAGGAAGACGCATCACTGACAGCAGACTGCGGTCAGCCTGTCAGGACGTACCTTGACCAGCATGGGGTCCATGTACTGGCCAGACGGGATGGAGTCCAGATACTTCTTCAGGTCCATGGACAAGAACTCAAAGATGAGGTAGAGACGAGACTCTTGCATCAGGACGTCCAGGAGTCTGTGTGCACACACACACACGAACCTGGGTTTGTGCCAAACTTCAGCTCTAGAATCCTATTTGTTCTCATGTCAACAGTGAGATAATCAGCATTATTAGAAACCAACTTTTATATATATATATTTTTTTTCCTTTAAAAAAGAGGTTAAATAAACTAATACCTTTGAAGTTTAAATGTATTTTACGAAGGTATTCCTCGCTAATAAAACAGTTATGCGTAGGCCTGTCACGATAAATTTAGCTGGATAAATTCTCCCAGAAATAATTATTAGAATTCCATTATTCCAATTAAATTATTGAAATTATTGCAACAAACTATAATCTTACTGTTGGAGCCCATTTTTATGTGGTATAATATTAATGGCATATTAGTGCAAGAACACATCATCAAATATCAAACTTTCAATTCTAATGAACATTTAACATTGGAAGACATTTAAATATCCAATATAAATAAACAGAACAGAAAACAAATAAAAATGAATTATGAAGTCTCTGTAATAAAAACAATAGGCCAGTTAAGACCAAAGCACCAGACTTATTACATTTTTGGTAGAAAGAGAGAAAGTAGGGGGAGGGATCCTGCAAATGGAAATTATTGAGCTCTTTTAAGTCAGGATTATTTCACTAGTGATTTTAGTGAAAGCAGAGCAGAAACCGTCTGTGACCCTGTGGAAAGTCTGCTCTGCTGGTAGGCTGTCAGATTTGAACTCAGAGCTCAGTGTACCAGCAAAGCAGCTTTTTGCTGATGCTGAGCTTCTTTGTGTATCCTCCTCTGATACAGTCTGTAAAGATGCATAATTAACCTTATGAAGAATTTGTAGCAGACACTGAAACACCATTAACATTTGTGTGATGAATCTGAGCCATGTCGGCATCTGAAGAGGTGACCCATGAGGCCGCCGCACATCCCCCACAGCGGTCACATCCTCCCGCCACCCCGTCCAGCTGCAGGCGGCGTACCGTACAACGTTGGGGTGTTTGAGCTCCTGCAGCAGAGACACCTCTCTGACAGCGGTGCTGGGAACTCCCTCCTCCTCGCTCTCCAGTCGGATTTTCTTCATAGCCACAACTTGTCCTGTGGACTTATGTCTGCCCTTATACACCACCCCATAGGTCCCTGGAAAACAACCAAGAAGAAAAAGTCACACACAAACCTCGTCTCTGATCGAAATTCTAATTCTATTGATCAAAACAACTCAATCACTGCTTTTCCTGACAAGATCTGATTCAATGTTCAAGTTTTCCCCAATAAACTTGCTAAGCCTGGTTGTTCGGTGCTGGCCAGTCATCCATCCAGTGGCCCATCGTGTTTTTGAGTTTGTTTGTTGTTTTTTTTTTTTTTAAAGATTGACAGGAAATTTGAAAATATAACTTGACAATTACATGTTATTGAAAGATTAGAAGATTAATACTTGAACACCAACTATAAAGTCTTAAAAATGCATTTTAAAAAGACTTAAATAAATAAGCAATGCTGATCCTGGTGGGGGAACAAGTAAAGCCTTGTGACCCACCAGGCTTATAATACACTGGGGGAAACGCTGCATTGAGATTTTATGAGGCATATAAATCCAGTGGGATGAATCAGATGGAAACACTTTTTGTCACTTGCAACGAGGACACATAATAAATGAAAACAGACAATTTCCATTTGTATGATATATTGCTTCTCTCTTTAATCTCTATTTCTATCAAAAATTAGATGACAAAAGTCATCAGTCTGGTGCTTTGGTCTCAACTAGCCCTTTTTGTCAAAGGATGACATTGTTTACAGACTTCATAATTAATTTTAATTATCGTTTACTTATTTTGGATATTTAAATGTTTCAATCAATCAACTTTACTTGGGCAACACATTGCAGCAATAAGGCAGATCAAAGTGTTTTATGTTATAAAACGTCACCAAATTATTCCCAAAGTTAGTAAAAACACTAATTTCCTCTGTTATTATTATTATAAATTAAAGTTCAATGATCTTTGAGAATTGCATTTTTTATGCAATTATTTGAAAATGGTCTCACAACAATATTATCATTCATTCCAATAACTTCTAGGACAATTTATTTTCCAGCAAAATTTGTTATCATGACAGGCCCAGAAGAAACCTTCACAGAAGATCCTTCTGATAAACCAGAGGAGCTTTCTGCCTGCAGTGATTAGTGATTGAACACCAGATGCAGTCTGACTGTTTTTAAGGACAGCAGTTCAACTCTGACACTCTGATAAGACAAATGTAGACTTTTACCTTTTTTAGAATAAAAAGCCATGTATACAAACCTTCTCCAATCTTCTCTATTTTCACATAATCCTCCATCACTGCCTTGAAGACAAGGGAAAACGCGTCATTTAGGCAAATAGCGGGTATTTCAGCATGTTCCATCAGATACAAACCGATTCAGTAGCTTAGATATTACTGAAACCGTTTGTTCGTAGTTAACTTCAGTCAACTACGAACAAACATGTTCTTCGTCCATGCAGACATTCTTCACCTCCTCACCTACCGTTAGCTTACCTAATGCTAACAAGAGTAACCTTTCTCCACTTTTAAAACTATTCTCAAACTTCTAACCGAGGAATAAAAAGTCCTTGTCTAGCCTCCAACTAGTAAACAAGGCATTCACTTATTTGTTAACATGACGAAACGAAGATAAATACCTAGTTTTGTAGCGTTTTGTCGAGCAGCTCTTTCTTCATTAACCGACCGTCGCTACTGGAATGCTGACAAACCCTTTTGAATAAACCGCAGTACAGGGGCCGTTCAAAACGCACCAATGAGTTCACTCGATACATTTCAAAGCGACCAATCAAAGAGTGGGATACTTGCCTGTTGGTTGAGCGGGAGACGACGCGCCGACGTAAGAGCGTTTGAACAGTACAGGTTTGAAGGGGTGGATGTGTTTACTGACTGAGATATTTATACTATTTTACAACTTTATCAAAAAAAAAAAAAAAAACATAAAGCTTACAAATCCGAATTACGAAGTCAACTTGAAACAAAGTGACAAAGCAGGTAATTTCTTTTGAAGGTTCATAACAGTCTGGTAATATGAAATACTTATTTTGCCAAAACTCAACCTTGTATTGTTTCTTCTAGAGACATGACATAGGCTATATTTTTTCTTTAATGAAATCTTGTTTTTCCACCAAACGTATATATTTAAATTTGAAACACCTGTACATTGAGAACAAACTTAAATTCCTGGTTCGTGTGCATTAATTTGTTCAATAAAACTGATTCTGGCTGAATTTGCATGAGGCCCTTTATGGATGAAGTGTAATCTATGGAATAGAATTATTTAATCATTTTTGTTTGCATGGCAGCTGCTTTGACACTACTGAAACTTACACTAGTAAAGATGCACAATAATAAATCATCTGATCTATTACTTACTAGTCTGTGTTTACCTTTGTTCTATTATATTTCAAATAGAAAATACCTTAGCAGATTATCTTTACATATTTATGGTCCAAATATTACTTTAGGAATTGAGGTTTAGATCAACAGATAAAGGAACATTGCAGTATATCTACACACAACTGGCAGCTCCTTGTGTTCAAACTGTAACATTATGTCTACTAACTTTCATTACCTGTAACTCTTTAAATGTTTCAAATTCAGATCTCTGAAATGATCATCAGGTTAACACCCTGTAGTACAGCAATAACACTTTAGCCCAGTTGAATAATTGTTCTTGTTCAAGAGATTAGCGCGTCGCATTTCTTTAATAAACTTTGCCGTACTTTGGTGCAGCTGGGTTTGTTTTCCAAGTGAATGAATGAATAAAATGAAAAAGGGGAATACTGAATTAAAACGTCCAAAACTGAAGAAACACCAGGCAAATTTATCTGTTTACTGATTTATTGACATACAAATAGGCAACCTACAAATCTGTCTTCATCATTATTTCCTGCTAATCATAAAGATGTCTAAAAACAAAAAGCCTGCACTATAAAGTAAAAAAGTCCTGTGGAAAAAAGTGCACCCTTTTACAATTCATAACATTACCCCAAACCAAAAAGCAAATATATACTTCTCTGATTATAGTCAGCAAAAACTGAACTTAAACACAGAAGTATGTAAAAACTGAGAAACATCTTTTATTTTAATGTAGAGTTTAAAATGTCTTTATTGCCATTTCACAGTAGAAGTCATCCCACGACACGATACAGAGAGGAAACGATAAACAGCATCTTAACCACTAACAGACCTCAGAGATGATCTCTAACTAGGCTGTGGACCTTTGGCCACTCTGCTTCACAACATCCAGAAAGAGTCCAGTTAAAAGTTTCTGACTCACCGCAAAATTTAACTAGTAAGCCAGTTAAAGGCTTAACTGATTGATTAATCAATCAGCCCTTAATCATCCTCCTTCTTGGAGCAGCAGAAAGAGTGGAAGCCATTTCTCAGACTGATTCCTAAGTTTCTGAGGACGGTTCCTGTTCAAACTAATCCAACCGTGGCAAATTAATTTACTCTGGGTTTTTACTAGACATCTCACTGATTGTAGTGATTTGTTAGTTGCTGAATCATGAAACAGAAATGTGTTGCCCTGTATGACAAATCAAAAAAGATCTGACATCATAAATACCCAACTTTTTCTGGACTCTATGTAAACATGTCATCTCTCCCAGGCAGCATCACCGAGGTGACGAGGAGGGCACTGGTAGACACTAGACTGCTGGGAACTTGTATCCTGGCTCACTCTGCAACAACAATTAGCTCATCGCTAAAACGATCTAATGTCAGGTCCAGATACTAACAGCTTTCATTCCAACAAATATGTCATCCAAGCAGCAGTGACCACTGATAGGATGAGGAACACCGAGAACATCCAACACAGGAAGGAAGTGGGATGAAGATCGCACTTCATCACCAAACATGGAGAAGCATTCGGCTTCTGTGCACCACAAACACTGCATTGCTTTAAATCAAGGCTAAAAACCCACCTGTTTTAGAGTTGTGTTTGAACCATAAAACATTGACCAACATATTTGATGTGCACTGATGATTTTAACGATGACATTTGTCAAAATGTAATATTGGTTTTCTCAATTGTTGACTCTATATAGTGTTTTTGACTTGGTTTTGTTGTGTTTTTCGTTGCTGTTGCTGAAATGTGCTATGCAAATAAACTTGACTGATTGAGTGACAAAGCAAAGCACCAACAGAGGAGACAGAAAACAGCTGACTGAGCCACTACCAAAGCGTTCCATGACCCAAGCCCCTATTCTAGTTATAGTTAGATTGTTCTGTTAAATGTTTTAATATATTATTTAATAATCTTTAAAGCACATCTATGGATATTATACTTAAATCCATTAGAAAAACTGAGACAAAAAAATATATATAACAATGCAGTAACAATAAAAAAAATGGGGATTGGCTCGAGAATTCAGAAATACCCTAAAAAATATTATATATATATATATATATATATATATATATATATATATATATATATATATATATATATAAAATGTTGGTCACATCTACTGCCATAAAATTCATTTTGATCTATTACTTACTAGTCTGACTGTTAACACCCAAAATACTTAATAAATGATTTTATCAATCATTTGATCCAGTGACGGCTAACGATGGCTAACTTTCAACTGGCATAGAGGTGGAGCATCTGGACAGTTTCTGTCCAGAGCTTCTGCTGAATGTACCTGTGTTACACTGTAAATATGTTTTATATGTTCCATATCTATGTTTGTATCGAACACTTTTTATTAATATAGAACGATCCTTTATTGGTCCTTCAGTAGAAACATTGATTTGCATCAACATGAAATCAACAGGCAAATGGAAGAATAAATATAAGTAATTATAATAAAATGAAACTAATTACATGACTGAGTCAGAGGTATATATGTCCATAAAACATGTCAACACTTAACCTGTTACCTACAGTGCCACCAAAAAGGGAAGTGACACTTTTATGTGATATATGTTTATAAATGCCCTACAAAAACAACAAAATCTTATCAAGAGTTTGACTCATTTCTACTGCATATATTTTAGTTCACTTGAATTAAGACAAGGTTAACTTACAAGTAACTTCTCAGCAAAACACAAGCCTGTTTTCAATAATTCTTAAAGCAGGAGAAATGACTTGTGTGACATAATCTGCAAGTGGAACTAGTACTGTTTTCTATCAAGAATTAGTGACTTAAAGTAAGCTTGTATATTTTGCTAAAAAGTTACTTTTAAATTAGTTTTGTCTTATTTCAAGATACTTGAACTAGAAATTAGACCAAAAATACTTGCTAAGATTTTGTGTTTTTTGCAGTGTGAGGGCAGCTGTCAGCAGTAGATGGGTGACTTGGTCCAGGCCAGACCACATGTGCCAAACGTGTCGACCATTTAGTCACAGCACCTTTCAACACATGCAGCTTCATTTCATCTGAACACTCTGTGGGTGCAGAACTCCTTCCAGTTAAGTGTGGATTTGAAATATTAAAGGCAGACTTTAAAAAATGTAAAAACCAAAACTTTTTAATGACCCATGTGAGGGTGTAGCATATTGTTCTATTTATGTCAGACAGCATGGGAGTTTAAACACATTGCTGATGTGCAGAACAGTAACCGTGGCGATTAACAAATGAGGGTTCAGGCTATAAAGGGGCAGCACTGTGTGGTTTCCAGGCATATAGTATCATTTTATAGCACAACCAAGTAACTATGTTACCTTCTGTTATAAAAATGCTGTATTAAATATGACTAAGTTTGCAATTTAACACCTTGAAATTGGGCCACTGTATCTTTAAGAAACTCCCGTTTCTGAAACTCCACCTTCAGGAAGTCATCACAATGCACCTGCATTGACACTTCAACAATGTTCTTACAGGCGTTGTGCAGTTCTACCAGGTGTTTGCTAGTTGCTGCGGACTAGTCTGAAGGAGCTGCCTGAGGGAGTTGCGTCGGAGGGCTGCTCTGTGAGGCAGAGCTTTGGAAACTGGGAGGAGAAGCTGCGCCACGAAGGCGGGACTAGGTCCATCCAGGCATTTTGCACAGCAGAGTGGTTGCCATAGAACAGGGGTGTCAAACTCCAGTCCTCGAGGGCCACTGTCCTGCAGTTTTTTGATGTGCCACAAGTACAAAACACAGGAATGAAATGGCTTAATTGCATCCTCCTTGTGTAGACAAGCTCTCCAGAGCCTTGCTAATGACCTCATCATTCTATTCAGGTGTGGTGCAGCAGAGGCACATCTAAAAGTTGCAGTTCAACGGCCCTCAAGGACTGGATGTTGACACCCCTGCCATAGAAATTAAAAGATTTTTCAAACATGCATGAAAGAATTAAGGCAAAACCCCAGGTATGCTTTGATTAGGGAATAACATTATAACATGAGGTAAAGTTGAAAAAAGTCCATTTCACATAATACTGCCCCTTTAAAGCATCCTTCCCACTTATGCAGTGATGTGTTCAGATGTGCCACAGAAAATGACCATCATAAAACACACTGTACATTAATCAGCATATATTTGTTAGGATTTCTATGGTAACCAACTGCAGCCACTCTGCTTCAGTCTGTCGCTCTCACCTGCAGATGGAGTGAAATGAGAAGTCCTGCTCATGAATACCTGAGGACTCATGAAATAGTTATGGCTAAAATTCTCATATGATTCTGTAAAAAGGCAACACGTTGTGTCAAAATAATCAGTTTCATATATATTGAAATGTTTGCCTCTAAGTATCCAGTGTCCTACATCCTCCAGCTGATCAGCAATGGAGGCATCTCATGCTGACCAAACAGCTGGGAAATATCTGTAGCTGCCACAAGACGAAAGGAATACAGAACATGCACCGTTAAACACTGGATGAGAACTTAAAACGTTGTTCCTACTTATTTAAACTCTTACAGTGATATTCAAAAGCACAATGGATTTATCAGGTGTCTTAACAGGAAATATTCTTAAAGCGTGTGCATGAGTAACTGTGAGAGATGTCAGAGCCACGTTCAGGTAGAATCCAGACAGGTCAGGTTTTCCCTTCATGTTCCAGACGGAGTGGTAAACACACCCTCAGGTGTTTTCATTGGTCAGACCCTCTGGTCAGTTTGTTCCTTCACTCTCTCCATTTCTTTCACCAACCATCTCACCATCATCCAGGTAGCTAACCTGCAGAGTGTCTCTCCGTGGTTCTGTTGAGTCTTACTTCCATCAGAGTCACACATCAGCAGCCTGCAACGCTCTGATTGTGCTTGATAGCCTTTATAAATGAGATGAGGTGGAAAAACACAGTTTCAGTGTGTATGGGTTGGATCCGTCTGCAAGATAAGCAGAAACAGATACTTTGATACAGATTTGAAAAACAAACTGAACTGTGGCGCTCATACTGGCAGCATGCTGGAACAGCTCTGTTACTTTAGCTCTGATTTCTTCTCTTTGCAGATTTTAGTTTAGAATCATTCTGGTTGAATCACTGCTTGTTTTTATTCCCTATAGTTCTGGATTCTCCAGATGTCCCACAAGGAAGGAGTGTGACGTGTGAGGGGCCTTAAAATACATTCACAGGTGTTTCCCCATAAGCTTGCCATCATTATCAGTTTCCCATCCTGTCATAAAGTTAAAAATGCTAATTTACTAAATGCAGAGCAGATGTATTAAAACTGAATTTGAAGAAAGTTAGAAGAGTTTGTCTAATACTCTGAATTAAATTGAAATGATTCAACCAAGTGTCTGTACTAAGTTATTGAGGATTTTTTATTTGACATATTTCAGGAAATAAAGTCTGCTATCTAGATAAAACTGTAACTCATCCTTATTAGAGACTGGACTCAATCCTTGATGTTAAGATTTCAAAGAAACAGAGACAGACTTACTTGGTATCCTAATCTGGTAGTGATTGAGAACAGTAAGAGCCTCCACAGCCTCCGTCTTACTGTCAAACTCCAGCAACCCAGAGATGGTCTTAGAGGAGGCTGAGAGGAAGATGATCGACACGTCACTTCACACAGGAAAGTCCAGGCAATTCATATACAACTACAAAACAGCACTGGTTTAAAAACATGCAGCAAAATTATATGAACCCAATAATATGATCTACTTACGCTTGGCGTCAAACATCTTGAATTTGATGAAGCCAGGCACGTCGTGCTCCCTACACAGCTGCCAAAAAACATATTGTTCCAAATAAATACAAACATGTGACTAGCTACCACCCACAGCTTGTTTAAGCCATGTTGAGCCATGAATCCTTTTCGCTCTCAGTAGTGATGATGCCATTTGTTTATCTACAAATAAGATTATTTCTGAAATCCTAACACTGCTGCATCCAGATGTCAAAGAGAGTAACAGGTACTGGTGTCTCAGCTGGTTATGTCCTGATGTGGAGATTCTAGATATTAAGGTCTGAATATGACAATAATGTTTCCCACTGTAGGACGGTGGTCTCCTCCACTGTGGGAAATGCTTTTTTTATGGTGTGAAAAAGACTTTGTGCCCTTCTGGGTTTCCTGTTCTTTTGCATGTTTGTGTTTCAGAACATCAAACCAAAATATATAATAATTGGCTGAGTCACCTTTAGCAGCTGCAACCAAGTGTTTTTATGATAACGTGCAGAGAGTTTTATCCACCTTCCTCTAGTGTCTCTGCAGAGAGACACTAGAGGAAGTTTGGCCACTCATCTTTGCAGAATTATTCTTTCAGCCATGTCGAAGGGTTTTCCAGTATGATCTTGCCATTTTATTGTCATGCCACAGCATCTCAATAGGATTCAGGTCAGGTCTTTGGATAGGCCACTTCCACATCTTAATTTTATTTTAATTTAGCTTTTCAGGAGATAAGGTTTCCCCAAAATTCAAAACTTTGGAAATGTTTTCACCATATGTGGATAACGGCTCTCCCGTGGTTCACTGGAGACCCAAAAGCTTTAGAAATCGCTGCGTAATCCTTTCCAGACTGATAGATATCTGTTATTTTCTTTATTTTTTTTGTTCCTGCATGATGACTAGCTTTAGAGGGCCATTTGGTGCACTTGAACTTGTCCTCCAGGTCCTATTAAAGTGACGTCTTTATTGAGAACAGGTGTGACAGTAATCAGTAAGCAGTATTGTACCTTGAGCAGCTGGTCCTGGGATATACAGGGAGGAACGTTGTAATAGTGTAGCACAGCAGACGGAGGCTGGATGATGTTCTTGGAGGCTTGTCCAGCGCTGCTGAAGCGGTTATTCCTGGTCATGGCGAAGTCCTTGTAGCTGCTGCTGCCATCTTCTAACTCAAACACCTGGCTGGGAATCACTGCGTGTTGCTTAGAGACACTGCACCCAACAACACAACAACATTCTCATCTGTCCACTTATTACAGGCTGAAACATGCTAATGAGCATGAGTGGATTAGAGTTCCTCTCACCAGACATTGAGTCTTTTCCAAACAGCTTGATACTGTTGAGGTGTGTGATGGCTCGGTCCACTGCATACTCGTCTCCCATCTCCACCAGCGCCGTACCTGGAACGCTCTTCATAAACTTCACCTGGAACACACACACACACACATGCACACACGCACACACACACACAGACGCACGCACACACACACACAACACACACACACACACACACGCATAAACACACACACGCACACACACACACGCACACACACACGCACACACACATGCAAACACGCACACACACACACACACAGACGCACACACACACATAAACACACACACACACGCACACACACACGCACACACACACAGACAAACGTCTGTAATGTTAAAGTCACAAAAGAAGCGGAAGGGCTGCAGCACATTTCAAGAAGTGTAAGGTATAGTAGACACAGAAAAAGACAAATAACAGGAAAAAACTGGACAGGACATTTTATGTAGTGGTAAAAAGACATTAACCTAAGAAAAGTTTCCTTTTCCAAAGACATAGCACTGGTGTTCCCAAAGACATTTTCTAATGAAAATATAAAATTTTGTAACAAATTTGACAGTTTGGATAGCTTCTGTCTGTCGAAACTAAAAGAGTCTTTTCTCAAAGCAAAAATCACAGTGAAACCATTTCTTTATGACTTAAGAACTAACATGAATTAAAACAAACCTTCAAAAAACAAACATGGTATTAACATATGTATTCCTACCTTCTCTATGTTACCATAGAGACAGAAGAGGTTGAAGATGCGGGTGCAGTTCATCTTGGATGGATGGAGGCCGCTCACCATGGCTACGGAGCTAGGGGCGTGGCCAGAGTAGGACGGGGAAGACTGGGGCAGGGGGTAGGAAACCATGTCTGGGACATCCACTGAGCTGAGCTTGTACCTGCTATTGCTTGTTAGAGGCAGCAGGGGGCAGGCCAGGCCTAAAGTAATAAACAGCATTAGCCACAAAAATGAGCCTCTGGCCTTAGGGTTTTACTAAAACATCACTTTCTGCTTTTGTTGTTTAGATGAGCTGCACTGTTTTAATCCTAATAATATACTAGCCTGAGATAAAATCACACATTTGCCTCTTAAATCTCTAATAATATATAGAACTTGGTAAAAGTATTCACACCCCCTTGAACATTTTCAGATTTAGTCAAGCTGATATCATTATGTTAATAAATGACTGATCTGGTGCCAATGCTGATGTTGATGCAGATATTTTTAAAATAATAGTTTTATTAGAAGGAACACTCCTCAACTGATCAGTACGACGGCATGTTAGGGCCAGCGTAGATAGACAAAAACAAGACGGATAAGTTTCTGCCAAAAAAAACAATCAGAAATTTTGAGATTCTTTTCAGAAATTTGGGGTTTTTGAAAAAGCAATATGCAGCCCCGCTAAACTTCTGAATTGTATTCCTTTCTGCTGTATGAAAGTTGTTCACTGAAACTGCTTTTGTCCACAAACTGATGTGAGCACATCAGTCAGACGTTAAGTGATGATGAGAGTGGGTGTGGAAATCTTACCATAACCATTGTCAGCATAAGATGATGGGTGTTCTCCTAAAATAGCCTGCTTTTGTCTCCCTTTCCCACGTTCTGAAACATACAAGCAAACACATGGATCATTAGAAAGTCAGCACAGCCCTTCCTCATCCATCTGAGGCCAATACGGCATGTTGCTGCTTTCAACAATTCAAAAACTTGTTTTGTGAAAACTGATTTAACATGGAGCTTTCCTCAACATAGATTAAACCCTGTGTGGCACTACTGCTGGAATTCACTTCTGGAAAATATTCTTCAGCATAAAAATCACTCAATCATTTAAATTATGAAGGCAAAATAGCTTCAGTTCAAAATTATTATTATTTTTTATCATTCCAGCAGGGAGAAGAGGTAACTCAACAGCTGGTAGACAAGACACATTGTCTTGATTTTAAATCAGCAACTCCAGATGATTTAAATTGTATCCTTATTTATTCAAACAACATAAACTACAGAAATGTTGTGTGAAAAATAGTCTACTCCATCATTCAGTAGACTGTGAATCCAACTTTATCTGCAATAACTCAGTAAACAACTTTGGACTCATACCTTGCTGTGTAACATGCTAACTGTAGCTGATGAATCTGAGGCCTTGTACACATGTAGCCAGGCATTTTAAAAATTAATATTTCTGCTGTATATTTTGAAAACGTAATACTGCACACATTGGAGCAGATTCAGAAAAGTTTTTGTCCACATGAAGTTGAAAAAATCTGCCCCAGAGCTTTGCTTTAAATATGCCAAACATATAGGGGGCAGTGCAGCACAAAGGTAATATCTGTAAGCCAATTAGATTGCTTCAAAACAATCAAAACTTCTTGTTAAAAATTGAACACGGTGTCACAAGGGTTGTTTGTGTGGGCAGACAGACATATAAGTTGAAGTACCTTAAAATATCATATAATAATATAAAGTTCATAAGACAAAACAATGTCAATTGGGAATGATGTCAAAGCAAAGTATATGGATATATTGGTGCATTATTTGTTGCAGACTGCAATGCACTGTGGTACATCACTAAATCTCCGTTTTCCCATGTACACACGCAAACACAAAGATTTTTTTATTTTATTTTGTTATACGCTCTACATCTTTACAGGGCCTCTGCTGACAGTGTCACTCATTCCAGCAAACATTAGTGTCAGTATAGTGAAGATGAAAGAGAAACAGCTTGTCTTACCTCGTCTGACCAAGTATGGTTTAGTGTAATCCCAGCTCTCATTGTCATTCTTTATTACATTCAGACGTGTTGGCTGTTGACACAGAAATAAAACATATTAAGGAACCATGTAATGGTTTTACTTTTACTGCACCATATCACACACAACCCCACATATACATAGTATGTATGTATGTATATATATGTATGTATGCATGTATACATTATATATATATATGTAATTAGAGTTAATTACAGGCGTGTAATTAACTCTGAGTCTGGAGCTTAGGGGTACAGTGGCAACAGGTAGAAGAGGGGCTCTAGAGACACTGTGAGGCTCCGGCTGTGCCACCCACAGCAGTGAAACAAAGGTAGGAATGAGGAAGACGAGTCAGGGCATGTGTGGATATCAAGTCATTGTTCTAAGCTAATACGGGCACAGTAATTATTTTTCACCTCATTCTTCACCTGAAACAGTTTTGTGCAGCCAATGCTGCAGGTCTGGCAGTGTGGTGTAAATGTTACAGCTTTACCCATCATTTTAATAATTCCCATTTAGGTTTAGATCACATCTGATGGTTATTAATACAATGGAAACAGTCTTAATAGATAAAGTACCAGGACTGAGAGGAGGGAGTCAATCCACCTCATCATTGTCTGGAAAATCTGGAAATTCATTTATCCAGCAGATAAAAATGTTGGAACTACAGTTAACAGCATAATTAAGTGGAGCCATTAGTGATGACTCATTGTATGACTCATGTATTATTGCTTCTAATCTAAAAGTGTCATTAAAGATCAATACATCTGTATGGATAGTATTGATACTACCCATAAGGTGAATGTGCCTCAGTAAAGATGTCAGTGCATGCTCAGTTTTAACTTGAACTTACAGCAGTCATGCTCTGTATGTAATTGATCAGAGGATTATTGCTTTATGAGTCAGTGTGATTATTATAATCTCTTAATAGCTCATCATGCTGGTGAGTACAAATGCTGGTGGGTGCTTCAACAATCCTAAATCCTGATAATTAGGGTTTCTTTTTTTTTTACCTGTGCGATTAAATGTTTTGGTTTGCAGTAGATAAATATAAATTCTTTTAATAGATGATGGATTTAGATATTACTTTTATATTTTGTCTTCTAAAACTTATAAAATTAGAATTATGTAAATTATCTGTAAAAGGTGCTGTGATTCCATTGGCAGATTATTTCACATATAACATGAAAAAAATTAATTTTTGTAAGTGAAATAATCCATCAGTGGAACTTGGGCTTTTTCAAATCTTCCTGAGAAGTTACATGCAAGTAAATTTTGTGCCATTTCAAGTGTACTAAGGTATTTGTACTAGAAACTAGACCAAAGATTTTGTGTTTTTGCACTAGATGCATTTGATGTCCTTTTTTGAGCTTCATGAAACAATAAAAATAATTTTAGAACCAGATGCTTTGATGCATAAATAGAAATAAATGCATAAATAAATCTATTCTTCAAACCTCCACTGGAGAATCTGCAGATCTTCGTAGTCTAAATTTTAGACTGTTGAAGAATGCCAATCGACCGAGTCGATCAGAATCGTAACCCGGAGGTCAGACCAAGCTGGTATCAGCCAGTCAACTGATATCAGCTCGGTCAGCAAAAGCTGCTGATGTGTTTTCTGTTTCTTACCCTTGCATATTCAATCTTGAGTGTACAGCAGCCAGCATAAATGTCAGCTCCATTTAGCGCTGCTTTGGCCTTCTGGGCACACTGAACTGAACTGACTCAAACCTGGAAGAGTCACATTAAGGAACACAAACACGTCAACGCTGCCCAATCCAGAGCATGCACATCACATTTCATCTGTTAGAGCCTCGTGTTTAAGTGCAGCTACTAGAGTCAGAGATATCCCCATGCAACAGAGCAGCAGCCAGCAGATCTCTGTGTGGTTTTAGATGGATTATGTGTAAGAAAAGGTGAGAGCCAGGGCCGTTTCTAAAAGGGTGCGTTTGAAACGACAGACAATAGGTGGAGGGCTGTGACTCAGACGGGTGTGGTTTGAACTAAGCCGCCAGAAACAGAAAGAAACAAAGATGGCAACATAGGGAAAAAACATTTCTGGATGAGCAGAAGACTTTCTATGGCCCCGCCCACTTAGATGACCAAGGCATGTAGATGCAGTGACCCCTGAGGAAAAGGATACTCCACCATGGCCTGGATTCCATTTCTCTTAAAGATGACGATCCTCAGCACGCTGCCTATGGGGTTACACACAGTGTAGAGAACATCCTGGACAAAAACACAAAGAAATTATTCAGCGCCACATACATTAGTTTAAGAAGAGCATAAATAATCGTCACTAATGTGTTTTGTTAAAACATACTGTAAAAAACTTTTACCAACATTTATAAGTTGTTTAATTATAAACATTTTTAGAGACGTCTGTTTCATTTCTTGTCATGAATGCACATCTAAGTTAACATAAAATAATTTAATCTTAATTTGCCAGGGTATGAATACTTTTGGGCAGAAATTATGAATATGATCTGCTTTAGATTCCAAATATACACAATAGATTCCAGTTCTTCTCAATCATACGACTTTGGTTTGTTGAGTTTGCAGGTATGTGCCTTAAAGTCCCACCACAAAATTTCAATTGAATTAAGATCTGGACTTTGACTAGGCCATTGGTCTAGTTGTTCTGTCAAAAGAAGTGTTATGTCTGGGGAATATAACACTTCTTTGAAACAGGTTCAATCCTTTAGCCCTCTACCACCATGTAGAATACTGATTTTGTGTGTGTAGGACCACAATGTATACATTGTGGTCCTACATCTTTACCTTGATCCTCCATCTCTACCTTGGTAGAGATGTATTTTCATCATTTGATGAAATACTAATATTTCCATCATTTGCTCCATGTCTCACCTTTTTCTCTCCTCCATATTTCCCATCCATTTCAGTACAATAACACTAGAGATTATAAATAAGGTTTCCTACTTTCGACTGAGCCATCTCACTCCAGAATGATGGACTTAGTTAAAAAATGTCAATGTAATCATTTCTAATGTCATTGCTGATGTCTTGAAGCCATTTATGAATTTGTTTTTAAAATAACACTGATGCAAAAGCAATATTAACTGTCTGTTTCATCTTTCATCTTTATAGGGAGCTTAAAAATGCAGTAAAAACTAAAATACACACACAATCTTAACGTGTGTGCGTGCGCACGTGTATATCTGTACTGTTAAAGGTGAATTGGAGACGGGTCTGAGCTTGTCCATCTGACTCATCACATAGCCGTAGGACCAGCTCCTTTCCCAGACTGAACTATTGTTCATCTCCTCTAACCAGTCAGTTCAACAAACAGTTGTGAGCTCTCTCACCACCCCAGGTGTGAAGAGGTTCACTACCTTTTCTCTAACCACAATGCTTTCCTTTCCTCTCACATTTTTTAACAGATAACATCATGCCTGACTTGGTCCAACACATATTATGATTTTCTAGAATGCAGATAAAACCCTGTAGATGGTTCTCAATCAGCAGATCTTGTGTCTGACAAACAGAAAGTGCAAAGTTTGTTTTATCATGTTTATCTGTTTTATACAGTAACATGCAAGTGTTAACAGCTAAGTAATCTAAACTGGTTCTGCTCTTCCGGTACAAGCCTCAGGAAGTCCTACACACAACCGCCATTACTTACAACTTAGGCTCTTGTTTGTCACTATTGGAAGAAACAACAACCAGCCAGATGTGATCAGAATGAGTGGTTTCCACTGGGTGTAATGCAATGTAATGTCAACCAATGTGAAGATATGCAGTTTTTAGTTTTGTCTGCTGAGAAAATATGGAGTAAATTCATAGTATGTCACTAGGCAGTCAGGGACTACAACCAGCTGAATCTGACTCACTGGACTGTTTTAATCTTAGTTGGTTCCTAAATTATGTTCAACAGTCAATTTACATTTTAATATTCAGGTTTGAACATCCTGAAGAAACAGCAAAGTTTTTCCTCAACCCCTCTTCCTTTAGAGACGGACAGTGATGGTCTTCTACATTAACTATCAATCAATCATCAAGACTGCAAACACTCCAGGGCTTCACATGCAAACACAAATCATCTGTTACACAACTACTCTGATCTTCCAAAAGATCAAAGTAGGAATACAGTGAGTGTTCTGTGGCACTGGTATGTACCAGTACATACCAGTTATGTACCATTTATGTACCAGCAACAATCAGACATGACTGTAAATGTTTAAAATGAAGGCGTGTGTGTTTACCGTTGTGATGGGGTAGAGTGGGTTCTGGATGGACAACAGCAGAACCTTGTTGCCGCTGTTTGGGTTGTCAGCGTTTGTTGGTCTGGTGATTCTCTTCGATGTGGAGTAGTTAAAGTAAGCCTGTTGTCCTAGTTAACAAATCAGTCAAAACACGAACACATCAGATCAATGGGACCCAAGTCCATTATCTTTAAACTGGTTGGTAATTAGACATGTGAATGGTAGATGGATTCAATTTACCTGTAAAAATGCTAAGTTTACTGATTTACTGTGTAATGTCTTTTATGACTTTGTAAGTTTGTGTTTTGTGATGTAAAGCACTTTTAACTGCTGTGTTGCTGAACTGTGCAATACAAATAAAATTGATTTTTTGATTGATTGAATTTTCAAAGCATCTTTCCAATCATATAAACCACTCAAAGTGCTTTACACTACAGACTCATTCACCCATTTTCACTAACACCCACAACTACACAACTATTCACCAATATGCAGATCAGTAGGCAGCTTGAGGCTAAGTGCCTTGCCCAGAGGCACATTGACATGTAGCAGGAGGAATCAAATCTGCAATCTTGCAAATGCAAACCTCAATCATCACCATCATCCAGCAGTAATCAAGTTGACGGCCCCTATGACAGAACTTAATCCAAGAATATACACCAATACCTAAAGTTGAAGACTAACAATTGGCCAACACTGACTTGTGGTCCTGAACATGTACTAAACATCATTCAGATTTCTAACTGGATAAGACCATTTCTCTCCACAAATATCCAAACCATTTAGTGTTGGTCTTAAATCTCCCTTTACAACTCAAAATAAAGAATTTCAAAAGATTTAAGGACAATTGTGCGCTTCATACAAGCCAGAGTTCTCCAAAAATATCCCAGCAGAGGAATGAAAGTACCTGCGATGTACACCGGCTCTTTCGCTCCGCAGGACACACAGCGATCAGCACTCTCCACTGCAGAGAACTCCACCAAGGCCTGACGCTTGAAGGGCATCATCATCACATAGCTGGAGAGAAAAAGAAAGAAATATATGATAGGAAAAGACAAGCACACACTTCGCTCTCAGATCTTTTCAATTTTATGACATTTTTCTGGATTTCTGCAGAAAAAAGTCAACAGCATCTTATGCAAACATCTCAGAACAAATGATTTTGTATTAGTGACCAAAACATTTGATTGTGCAACGGCTGGCAACAAAAAGGAACTGGTCCCTCAGTATGAGTTCTGTTCAGCATGCCATGGTCCTCAGTGGTTGGAGCACTGCTTTTGTGTTTATCCACTTGATTATTAATGTATTTAATTGCCTAACTTTGATCTGCAGCAAAGTTAGACACTCATGGTGTCAATAATTTGTTATAGTTAAATCAACACAATGAGGCCTGTGATTTTGGGTCTGAGTCCTCACTTCTTTCTAAAAGTCTAACTCAAATATGTTTGAGATTCTCCAAGAATGATTTGTAAAATCTTTAAGCACATTAAACCTACAATAAGTTACATCACTAAATGAAGTTTGGCAAACCCAGTAGGGATTTCCTGGCATTTGAATCCTTTAGCTAAACCCATTCAGGAAGAGAGAAGAACTTACAAAAGATTCAGAAGAATCTCATTCGTCAAAGACATCAACCAGTGGAAAGGAACAACATTAAAAAAAAAAACAACAGTAGGGTTGGCACAATATGAACATTTTAAACTCCATAACGACAGACATTCGAAAGTCATTTTTCTATTTATAGTGCTACCAAACATTTGAACATTTTTATTATTTATAATTAAGAATAGAAGTTTTAAATGTGGAATTGAAATGTGAAAGTGGTTCTCTCTTTGACCATGACCTGACCATTGCACAAAGAGTTTTCTGTACTTCACCATTAATTTTAATCTAATGATGTGGTTAAGATGAGACATGAATGTCAGCAGAATCTTTCAGACAATGTAGTGTCAACAGCATAAACATGCACTCTTGTTGATACCTATATGTGCCACAATAAGCAATAAATCAATTAATTGCATAATGAATTGAAATTAGCTCAATAATTTACATTAACATGATTTATAAGTTTTCTCTTTTCTCTCTCTCTTTTACCAAAAACGAGATGACAAAAGTCTCCAGTCTGGTGCTTTAGTCTCAACTAGTCCTTTGTTTGGCAGACAGTTTGTATGTTTTATTTATTTTGGAGATTTAAAATGTCTCCCAGTTCCAGTGATAAATGTACAATAGAATTGAAGTTTATTTATCTTTGAGAATCTGTTCTTGCATTGTCATGCCATTACCACTATATCATTTGAAAATATTCTCAAAATATTACTGCAGTAACTTCTGACACAGCAAAACATGCTGCCAGGCCTAGAAACACTGAAATTTGAGTTTTTCTTATCTTTAAACCATAACCATCAAGATACCTAAAGTCTTGAAATATTTCCTTTTATGCATCTCTCTTTGAGTTTCACTTTCTCATGAGTAGCAAAAAATATTGACATTTTTCATATTTACAGATTTTTTAAAGCTATCCTACAGAAAAATAGTCAATTCAAACCAAACATAAAGGCAAATTCCAAATCTAGCACATGCATAGCAAGTTGATCGTCGTTGTCAAAGAAAGTAACTCCATACTGAACTTGAACAGTCAAGTTCTGGGTATCATTCATATTGGTTGAAAAGTTTTCTGTCTGAAGCAATCCATCAACATGAACATGGAAGTGATGTGGAGTGAAGATCAGTTCAGTCCAGGGCAAGGTTTCACAACTAGACAGCTGAGAAACAATAACAGGAAACACATGATCTGCTAGGTTCGTGGAAGGATGTTGTTATAAAAGTCACTTTTATAAAATTATGTAAAACCATTGTGTGCTGCAGGCTTTCAGCATTCACAAACTTGATAGGATTTGAGAAGACAGAGCAGGTAAAACATTAAAAACTGGATTCAATTTTTATTTATTGGTCCCTTTAAAAGTTGATTTTAAGGAAATGGAGATTCTGTTTTAAGCCATTAAACTTGATAAACTAAACATAATGAAAACCTCTAATCCTTCAAGGTTTAGTTTTCTCTATGATCATCTCAGATAAAAGGGCGGTTTAAATAAATCTAGTTTCTCAACATTCACAGTTTATGCTAAACTGTGTGCATAATTTTATTGGGCATATTTCTTGTATGTATATTTTCTTGTATGTTTTACTTTGTAATTCAGTTGAGTGATATTAGCTTAGTGAGGCTGTTTAACTGGAAAGTTGAATCATTTTTTATAATAAACTAATATTAAATGGAAGTTATCTGTCATTATTTTTCTGAGTAGAGCTGGTTTTGGACTTTTAACTTCTTTGATTGTTATTTTAATACCAAAGCAAGTAGAGAAGCAACAGCTGAAACTGAACTATTTGGTTGTTTATTTTTCTGATAATCAGGTGGTGCCCTGACAAAGTAATTTTGATCTAAATAGCTAGTTTTGTTAATAATTGCCCTGTGTAATTATTTATAGTCATTCATAGCCAAACCAGAGCCTATTGCTGCACAAGATGGTAAGCAATATTACTGTCAACAGTTACAACAGTGTAATTTTTGACACAAACATCTTTGCATACTTTAATAATGTGGTGTCTTCTTAAATCTCACACTTTAAAAACAGTAAACCCTTTGCTCCTCCTTCTCCATGATGCAATGTTTCTAAACTCTCTGAATAAAAGACACGTTGGGCCCAGATAGTTCTCATTCTGCTTGTGCTTTGTGGTTATTTCATGTTTAAAATTAGTGTTTGGCTCTGTGAACCAGATTTTAGCATGAATGTCAAACCGCTGTTAAGAGCACACTGACAGGTTCATGCTGTGGCATGTCTCCTCTAGAAGTTGTTCAGAACGTATGTTTTAATGCGCAAAAGATTTATACATGATTAATTGCTTTTATGTCTTTCATATAGAGAGTGTCCGTCCAGAACCTTTGTATTCATGCATTTCTGGTTTGCCTGTAAATCTGATGCACAAGCGACATTTGCTAACAACAGCAATTGGCGACAAAAATGCTTTTCTTAGCCCACTGGGGATTCATTTTTGCTTCAAAAACCAATCTATGGAAAGTCTATTGTTGTGTTCAACTTGTGCTAACTTAGCTGTTATCCTACACAAGCCTAAAATGTCATCTCAATGCTAAGCATGTCGCAGCAGAACAGACGTCCAACACTAATGTCAGAGTCCACTGTCCACATTCCAAAAGGCGTTCCATGAACAAGCAGGAGTTATTGAAACACTGGGAAGCTGAATGGATGGAATAACACGTTGCACAAATCTGAGGAAGAATCTGAAGATCAGATTAAAAACAATATATATCTGAGCTCATATGTCTATTTATTCAATTTAGCTGCAAAAGGGGTTTTTGAATTGAAAATGTTGCTTGTTTTGTTCATATATGGTTTTTGATTAAAATGCGATTAATTGTGATAAATTAATTTTATCTTGCAATTAACTGAATTAAAAATTTTAAGCAAGTACTACCGGTACTACTAAAAAAACAAAACTTTGTAAACTTAAAAATAGATTGCAAGAGAGCAAAAAATTGAATAACATTTTTTTTTATTAAAAAAAAAACACTAAAACTCCTACAGTTCATAAAGACACTTCCACACAGAGCATAACTGTATAAAATTAATTTACTACAAAATGCTAAAAAGGGAGAAAGAAGGCCATCGGTGTAAATGGGCCAGTCGGCTCTCCCTTTTGCCAAATCCAACTAACGTCCCCTTTATCCACCGGCTCTACTTCAGCTGCTCCACAACACAATTTGTGAATTCACCCGTTCATGACAGACTGACGAGTTTGGCTAATGATTTCTGGTTATCAAATGATGTTCCAACTTCTTTCTATTGAAAGAACCTTTAACTCTATTAATAATAAATTATTGATCCTAATTAGCTGCACAAGTCGAGCTTTGATGCAATCCCTGTTGCACAACAGTTGTCTGTGCTAAAACATAAGATGTAAAATACTGATTAAAAAACCATATCACCTCTGCCATTGAAATAATTCATTCTGAAGTCATTATATTACAGGTGAGGAAAAACTTATTTTGAAAGTTGTTATTTATAATTCTCCAAGAGAAACTGGCACCAGCTAGTGTTAAAGACGTTCTTTGTTTATGCGTTCAGCTGAAAGTGGGGAGCGGCTGAGTCAGTCTGTGTGAAGTTATGCAACACCTGGAGTAGACCAAGATGTCCAGCTGTCACAGACCATAACAAAACTGAGCATTTGAGTAAATCTCAGATATTAGTAATGATATTAATTTCTGTAACTGTCTTTAGGGTTTTTCCCTCCATTTTCTTAACAGAACTGACTGGTCAGTGTTTTGAAATTAACCCCAGTTGCAAAGCCTTCACTGAGTTGGTCCTGAGAAGCTGCCCAGCTGAGGTTGCCATGGTGATATATCAGAAATGGATTTATTTATTCATGGAGACAACCTGTAAATGTCAAGATAACAAGTAAAAATATTGCAATCCTATTTCTTATTACATGTTTCACATGCCTTAGACATAAACATTAGATTTCTGAACCTGTCAGAACGTTTTTAGCAGTGAAGCCAACATGAAATATAACTGTTGTGATGGGCAGATCATTAATGAGATTTTTCTCTCTCTGGCACACACACGTATGTTGGTCTTGCTAGCTTTATGGGGATTTTCCACCGACTTCCATTAATTTCTACAGCCTAACCCTATCACCTTAGTCCTAAACCTAACCCCTAACCCAAAAACAACCTTTTTGGGTTAGGGGTTACATTTTACTGCAGTGAGTCACCACACATAATATAAAAAACAGAACCAGTGGATGCGTTCTCACCATATTGGTCCAAATTTCTTCAGGGCATCGATTAGGTCTGCTTCCACCACAGCCTCACAGAGACCCCGGACATGGACCACCGGACTAGGAGAGATGAGATGGGAGTCTTCGCCATTATCCTGCAACACAGTTAGCCACATTCACAGTAAAGCTACTTCATATCTTGCTGTATCATGCTTGGCATCTTCAGTATCCATTTTCTGACTTTATTGCCACAAAATAATATGGTCAGCAAGACAAATAAACACCCTGCAAAAGTTCAATTTTCACTTTCTTGTAAATGATATGCGGTCTGACAGAGATCTTCAAAGCTCTATTAGCTTTGAAATCTAAATCCTTTTGACTTTCTGTAAAGAACAGCTCAAGATCAGACTGAGTAGATAAAGTGTCTGTAATAATCAAGTCTTTCCTCAAATTCTCAAACAAACTAGCTCTATGCTTTGACTAAGCATTTTTCAAGACTAATAAACACAAAATTAAATATTAGCAGAACAAATCATACAGTGATATTGCTGCTAAGGAAGACATATGAGGAGGAAAAAGAGGCGTAGAAAAGGACGGGGTGGCGTGTCAGAGCCTAAGATGATGTCTAGACCTGAGCAATACCTTTCAGAACAGAAGCATAAACCCTTAGAGAGCACTAGATAAACTGTGCTTCCACCTAGCTTTAAACTAGACAAAGTGATGAGAGACCAAAGGGCTCCAACCAAACCGAGACCCAGGTTTCGAGACCTAACTCTGAATTCAGGCAGACGAGAGTTCACTTTTTGCATAAGAGTTCGACAGCATATTCATATATCCCGAATGAACAAGACTTTCTAGGAAAACTAACTATAGTTTTGATTAAAGCAGACTAAGAACAGTTGGTGTGAATGCATCCTTAAATGAAAATCCAACCTTATAATGAGCTGGCCAGATTCTAGATAATGTCCAGGGACTGAACCAAGAGAAAGGTTCAACAACTGGACTCACATACACCACGAGTCGACTTATGCATAGGTCACCTCCAACGGGATTCTGTGGTCCGCTGCACATGATGGGGATTTCCCAGGCTCCCACTTCAGCCTAACGGACTGTGAAGTGCACAAACTCACAGTATGTCCATACTACTCCAAAAATTCTCCAGGTTACACTTCGAAGTACTATTCTGTATTAAGTTTCGCTATCCATCAAAACAGGAGGAACTGTTCTTAGTGCATTAAATGCTAAGATCCAGCATCTAATGCATCTTCCAGCATTAAATGCTGGAAGATGAATGGGGGACAGCTTTCATCTTCTGAATGGGGGACAGCTTCTCCAATGTAGCCATGGTCTTCTTGGTTGCTTTTCTGATTAATGCTCTCCTTACCCAGACTGTCAGTCTAGATGGATGTCCATGTCTTGGTAAGCCATCTCAAGATGACGGATTGACTCTGGAAAATGTTCAAAGTTTGGGATGTTGTTGTAGGTCTAGCCCCGCTTTAAACTATATAGGCGTATCAGACTGAAGCAAACAACAATTTCTACGAAGAGCTGAGCAGCATCTAAAGCCATCAATGAAAATCTCTGGAGAATTTGACCAAATCTCTCTCTGTCACACTGCACATAGTTTATCTAGTGCTCTCTAAGTGAACACACCACACTGAATGTCCTCTGTGCAGTTCTTTGGAGATGCTCATGGCTCCTCTCCTTGTCCTTCATGAGGAAAAGCAAGACCACACAGTCTGTTGCTTCTCACCTCCACCCACTCACCCACTGTTCAACAGCAACCTGTGGGCAGAGGAGCGATGAGAAGGTCATCAAAGAAGGATGAATTTAATTTGTAGAGAGAACCTTTGAAGATGCCTCACCATAACAGTTTTTATGCCAGAACGGAGTGCTTGACAAGATATATACGTGGGCAAACATCTTCCCCAACAACATGGTGAGATCTATTATTCTTAGAGGAGAATACTCTAACCTGGCACCGATTCGCTCATCACTGGGTTTTGAAAAAAGGGTTGCATTGGAAGTTTTAGACCTCATTGGTTTCAGTTCTGATCAGTCAGGCTGAGGTTTGAGACGTTAGGTCACAGTGAGAACAGCTAAAACCATTAAATTGCACATGTTTAAAACGGCACAGAAGAGGACTTCCTGTGTCTATGAGGTCACCTAGTTCTATATCTATTAGTCTAATCACTAGAATCTTGATCAACGCATCTAAACCATGAACGTTGACATGTTCAGAGTGTTACTAGTTATAGACTCTGTTGAAGTATCTTCAAAAATCCAGTATCAGCTTATGTGCAGCTGCTGTGACAATTGGTCATCCCCTCAGGTGACGAATGCCCCATTATGTCTGTGTCTTGGTTGTGTCTTTTTGAAATCAAAGTAAGAAATGAAGCCAAACACGTTCAGTTTAATTTAATTTCCATAGAAGTATTGTCTCTTTATAAGAAAAGCCTTTTTGATTCAATATCTCACACATTCCAATGGAATCTTAACATCAAACAGTGCAATAAAAAGTTTAGAGAAGAACTGAACACCAAAAATGTTGTCCCATAAACTCAGTTGATTGAACTTGTTTTAGAAAGTCACACACCTCTCTAAGTCCCACAGTTGACTGTACAGGTCAGAGGTCAAATACCAAGCATGAAATCAAATGAATTGTCTGAAGACCTAGAATCTCTATCTCTGTAGCCATCAACTAATCAGGCCTGGATAGAAGAGTGGTCGAATGAAAGCAACTCCTTTATAAAGGCTCATGGCACCCCGACTGGAGTTGATCAAAAAATCAGAAGGACTCTTAGACCTGGAGAACAAGATTCTCTGGTCTGATTAGCCAAAGATGGCCAGACTTGAATCTAGCTGAACATCTCTGATAAGATCAGAAAATGACTTACAGATGTTTCCATCCAACCTGATGGAGCTGGAACAAAACTGCAGAGAGAAACAGACCACGCTGCCTAAAGACGACTGGCGGATGGAATTGGTGCAAAAGGTGGATCAATAAAGTAGTACTAGGCAAAGCTGTGAATAGTTTTGTAAAGTGATTTATTGGTTTTATATTTTAAGAAATTTGCAAAATCTCAAAAACCTTTTTCCACATTGTCATAATGGAATTTATAGAATTGAGGAGAGAGACTGATATGGCTGTAACACAACAAGGGCGTCCCGTTGAAGGTTAAGTAGTTAAAACATTTATTTACTTTTGCAAATTCAAATTCATTATGTCTTCAAATTACATAACAGTTATGAGATATGCTCAAGAGCAATAATCTCTGAAAATCAGACAATCAATATTTTTTAAAGTGATCTTTTTGACTCTTGAATGTCTTTACTGTGGAGACATACATCTGTCTTTTCTTCAGACACACACAGTTGCTCTATATCATCTAAACAAATAAACTTGAGCTAATCTGGCAGTTAGAGGATGAAGTCATCCTGGTTAAATACACATCCAGCATCACTCTGCTCTCCTGCTGCTTCACTTGACTCGACTTTATAAGGTGTGAAAATGTCATTTTAATTTTAGTGACATGCCTTCTCTCTTTCACGGCTAACAATGTGCATGGTACACTAACAGGACATAATTTTGTACTTGATGGAAATGTGATCTATATTGTTACTCTGTGTTTTTGGCGAATTGGTTCAGAGGAACTTTTCAGCAGCTTTATAGCCAAACCCAGACCAGAGCTTGGTTGTTCTCCTTCCTACACACGCAGCATCCTACTCCAGTGAAGGCCAGGCTGCCTGCCAGGTATCTCCTGTTCTGGGCTCTACCGCGGAGCCTGGATGCCTGGATGCTGACTCCATCAACCTGCGTGATGATGCAGTCAGACCCCCTCCATGGAGCAACCAGTGAACGGCAGCTGGCGCACACACACACACACACACACACACACACACACACACACACACACACACACACACAGCAAACCAGAGGCCACGCGCACGCGCATGCCAGCCTATGCGGTGCTGCTCGGTTCCGTCAGCTTAGGTAATAGCATCCCTGCTCTCCTTACCTTTCGTCCTGAACCGAACTGCCTGCCGCTCCATCGGGCCCGACTATCCGTCTCTGCCTCCCCGTTACCGGGCAGCGACCCGCTGTCCGAGTCCTCACCCTCCTCCAGCTCATCCTCCGCTCTGTCCTCCTTCTCCTCCAGCGGCGGCTCCTCCATTTTCAGCCGCTTGGCAGCTCTTCCGTACACCCCGTCCTCGCGCTGACTGCCTGCTTCCACCGTCGACATGTTCGCGGCTTGCGGTAGAGCTGTCGGGAGCGGGGAGGAGAGCCTCTGCTGTCCGTCGCTCCTACACGTCCATTCCAGTAGTTGTCCCTGTCTCCACTGCGAGCAGCCTCCCGGCCTGCGCGTCTCCGTGTTACCTGTCCCGCGTTGCGTCACCGGTCCAGGCTCCTGTCTGATTCACAGAGGCTCTGCGACGCCACAGATTTCTGAGTGTGGAGGTGTGAGGGGTCCGCCACATCCCGCCCCGCGCGCCTCTTATTATTGGAGAGTGTTTTCAGCGCACTGGAAACACGGCACGTGATTGGTCGATGCTAGGGCGTCAGCGGCTCCCAGTCCTGCAGCGGGGGACCAGAGACAGGAATGATGGCAAAGATTCAGAGGCGGACTGGAAACAGTGAGGAACAAATTAAAGGCATGACACTTGTGTTGTTGTAATAAACAGTTCACTGAATTATTAAAAGGAAGTGATCCATTTAACTACATTGCTCTAGACATAAAATCATTTAACTTATGTAAGGATCAGCATTAACCTAAACATACTTTGGTTGGTATTAACCAACGAATGATTTTATTTTATTTTTTTTATGTAAAAAAACCACGATAACATAGCAAAACAAAGGAACTATGAACATGCGTGTGAAAAGAGAACAATACCAATGTGAAGCAATCAACTAACTGCAAGCTATTAGGAAACCTAAGAGGAGGTTGCAAGCATTGCCTAAGCATCTTGAAGTGATACAGGAAGTGCAAATAAAGTTGACAGACAACAGGGGTAATTCATCTGGTTTTGTGTTGAGCCCAATCCTGTACAGTTTGGGTGATTGATTCAAATGTTTCTGGGCTCAACCCGAACCCAGTACCTACAGTGACACTGCCTGCTCCTCCAACTAAAGTTGTATGGACAACATTTTATTACCAGGTAAGAAGTTCATGATTTCAAGAGTCTGTGTGCATGTGTGTTTTATTTACCAAATACATTGTCATAAAGCTCACTCTGTGTTTGTGATCCATTTGTATACAGCACTCTTAATAAAATATCCTCCTTCATCAGTGGCCTGAAAAAAAAACACCTTAATGAAGAAATATGAGAAGTAGGTTATGGAATTGCCAGAGGGATTCGTAATGGGAACAGAGCAGCATTCTTTTCAGGAAGTGTTTCATGTCTGAAACACTTCCTGAAATTTAATGCTCATAATGACTTTGTCAAGTCATTATTGTAACTCTACTTTCACCTACCTGCTCAAAACTGTTGCTGGTATGGATGAGTAGTTTTGGGGCTGATGGAAAGACAAACACACCTGGCAGCTAACAGAACAATCTGTTGCTGAATGTAGGAAACTAACTAGCTGATAACCTGGGGAGGTGATTAGTGAAATGGGAACCAGTGAGCACAGAAAGGGCAAAAGACCTAAGAAAGAAACACATACTGTATTTTCCAGTCACTATTAAAAACATTAAAAACAGTTCAAAAGTGCTACATAAATCAAATATGACTGAACAGAATTTGACTTAGTAATTTAATGTGTTAAAATTTGGCTTTAAAACTGCTCTTTCTGAAACTCCACCTTCAGGAAGTTATTACAACATGGCTCCTCTATTAACCCTTTAGCAACTTTTTAGAGAAGTAGCTCCTATAATGAGCTCAGCAGGTGTGCAGTTCCATCAGGTGTTTGCTAATTTCTGCTGGCTAGTCTGAAGGAGCTGAGTGGGAGAGTTATTATGGAGGGCTGCTCTCTGAGCTCTTCACCATAACTCCACCTCTGTGAGGCGGAAGCTTGGAATCTGCAGCTCCAAAGAGGGCCTTGGTGCTTGGAGGGGATGTTTGGTCCAACCAGGTGTTTTGGACACCTGGAACTGCCATGGAGATTGAAGGATTTCTCAAACATGCATGAATGAGTCAAGACAACATTTCATGTGTGTTTTGATAAAGAATCACACTATAACATGATGTAAAACTAAAAAAAAGTTTATTTTATGCAACACTTCCCCTTTAATCTCATCGAATTCAAGAACACACTGAAGTCTGTCAGTCTGGAAAGGCTAAGTCATTTCCCAGACTTTGGGACTCCAGTGTAGCATCTGATTACTTTTTTTACTCTGCCACTCAGTTCAGTCTGTTTACAGATCTCACACACGCACGCCACACACGCACACACACACACACACACACACACACACACACACCCCACACACACACACACACACACACACACACACACACACACACACACACACACACACACACACACACACACACACACACGACAGACTTGGAGAAAAATCATCTAAATATGAATTCAGAGAGGTTATGCTAAAAATCTGTAATTACAGACACATTTTTAAATTAATATGTTGTCTTTAATTGATAGAGCAAACGTGATTATTAAATTAAAGGATAACTCCAAGGTATTTCAGATAGGTTTGCTAAGTGTCCTTTATTTTTTCAAACCCTTCCATCTGTAACAGTAGAAATGGTTTGTTGTTATATTCATCTTAGTTCAGTTTATTGAGTGGAGAAAATAATGAACCTGTAATTTTTCTAAGTTTAAATATTACTAATGAGACTACTGACATAAAATTCTTACCAGATGTTATTAACAACCATATTAATAGGCACAAAAATGAAATTAGAGTCACTATTTACAATTACTCTTTGAAAATTTGAATTAATATAAGTCACAAGATTTAATTATATTTAAAGATTCAAATACGTTTGACATGCCATACGCCTGATCTTTATCAGCCAATTCATGCTGGAAAACCTTTACCACCCCAGACATTGACATCAAAATAAAATTTAATGCCCAAGTACTTTTGCAAACAAGGAACTTGACGTAGAATCAGACACGTGAGAGGAGGAAGCTGGAATCAAGACTACAAATTTCCAATTGCAAGAGGACAAATCTATCGACTAAGTCCATTAATGGATACTGCAAAGACAAACTGTTGGCTATTTCGCAGCATGAGATTCAGACCCAGTACATCTTAAAACCCAAACTGTAGCTTTGTCCTAAACAATAAAGATACTTTACATATTGTTATCTCACTGTTGGATAAAATAATTTGGTAATAATCAGATGAGCAAGGGGACATTTCATCTTTATGATCAAAACATTACTGAAAGCTGAGCATGATGCAGGGTTCCACTTCCTCCCTCTGCGTGAGCTCAAAGCTCTCTGTTCCTGTTTAATGACAATGACAATGACCAACACAAACTGTGAGAATAGTCTCTGATTTTGCTGGGACTTTTTTGCACTTCTCTGTAAATATTTTTCAATAATCAATATATATATATATATATATATGTATATATATTTATATATGTATTTATATACACGTGCAATGTCATGTGTGCTTCAAGTTATTTCGGTGACTGTTGAGGAATTTATGTTATCAAAACATAAAATATCAAACAAAGATTACATAAGAAAATATCACAGCATTTTCTGAAATTATAATTATAAGGGAAATAAAATGTAACCAAACCAGTCAGGCCCTATGAGGGTAAAAGTAATGAATAATTACATTAAAAAAAACTATTGTAAAGCAGATTCATAAGTCTGTATACGCCACGAAACAGCGCCCTCTTCAGACATGAGATATTAAATGCATGTCTGGATTTGATGTTTGTCATACAAAAATAAATTTTTGCAGAAATGTTTTCCTTAGAGCCCGTTCTGATGTAGAGTTTCTCATCGTGGGCCTTTAAATGACTTATTTTAGCTTGAGTTATTTTTAAAAGCAATATCATGTGAACAATCTGGATATATTGCGGATTTTCTTAAATAAGGTCAAAACTAAACATACAGATATCAATATCCATACATATGTTGTAGTTACTGCTAAAGAAACCCCTACATTCATATATTTTTTAAAAAATTAGAATAGAATATTTAATACAACTTTAGTAGTTATAGTTTTCTAACTTCCGTTTATTTATTATTTATTTGACATTGGTTGTTCTACTCCTAATTCCTAGTGATGTATTCATTGTGCTGTACAAGTGAAGCGTTAGCAAATAGATTTGTAAGTCAGCATATTTATGTATGTATTTAAAGCAAAGTTTTAAGTCAATTCAGCTCTTTTTTCACTTCCAGGATCAGTAACAGATATCGGTTTGGGAAGTGAAACCAAACCGATATCTGGTGCATCATTACTGCAGCTTAAAAATGATGTGTTTGTTAAAGTGTCAATAGCTATCAGTTACTTCACATAATTGATAAGACTGATGGTTTTTAGATATTCATATGAAGAGGGCCCAAACCAGTTTGAATGATCAAACCTTTACTTTATTACAACTCATGCAGTCATAAAGCAAAGCTTTGACTTAGATATGTGTCAGAGGTCATCGCTGGAGTCCTGACTGTTCAGACGGTGGTGAAGGTGAAGCGAGACACATGATGGTATTCATCCCCGGGACGCAGGAGGCAATCTGGGAAGGAAGCCTAAACACACACACACACACACCTTTGGTTTGGCAACACAGACATGACTTAAAAACACATGTTTTTGATTAAACCACATATTTAGACAAAATGGGCAGAAAGAGTGAGCGTTAGGGAGGTGGCTCTCTTCTTTAAAAAGATCCTTCTGTGTAACCAGGAGAATCGACTGAAATTGTAATTATTCATTCATCTAGTTTCTCCCAGGTTATTATTAATGCATCTTATTCAAACATTGCAGTTACATTATTGCATTTTTAGCGAGAAGTGTTATTTTCTTATTCAAAAAAGTAACAGAAAATTATCTTATCTTTGTTTTTAATGTATTTTTAATGTGTAAAAAAAAGGCTTAAGTGGTTAAATAAAAAACCTGCGGAAGATGCCAATTTTCTAGAGAGATTATTTGAATAATTGTCAGAACAATTGATTACTAAAAAGAATCATTAGTTGCTGTCCTAAATAATAGTAACTTTTATGTATTACTATAAATAAATAGTGATATTGGATTATCCCATTGAAATCAACATGTCTCAATCATAACAAAGACCTTGCAAAGAACAGCATCAAACAGAGCATAAAAAAACCAAGAAAAAAGTTACAGTTGTAAGATTTTGATATTTTCCTAAGTTTAATCATTGGAAGTGATTCTCCATCCAGCCACATACCTGGTTAACAGCATTGGGCCAGTTTTGTGTCTCTAAACAGAAGGCGCTGTGCTTCCCATACGTCACTC